CATGGCCACCCCATCCGTGAGCCAGTGTTACCCCGAGACGGGGGGGTGGCTGCTGGCCACCTCGCAGGTCAGGGACACCGTGTCCCCCACGCGGATGTTCTGTGCGGAGGGGCTGACCAGCACCTGCAGCTCCTTTGGCGAGTCTGTGGGGAGGACACACGGACACGGAGGGTGGGGGAGAGGGTGGGCAGGACCCAGGGGAACTCTGAGGGGTCTGTGACCGGGGGGCAGCACCCTGGGGAAGTCCTGGGGGGGTCTGTGAGGGTGGCCAGGACCCACAGCCCTGGGGGGGTCTGTGAGGATGGGTAGGGCTCACAGCCCTGGGGTGGTCTGTGAGGAGGGGTAGGACCCAGGACATGCTGCCACAGCCCTAGGGGTGTCTGGTGCAGGGAAAAAGGGAGCTGGAAAGGGGGACAAAGACATCTGTGAGTGTCAGGAGGTGCCACAGGGATGCAATGTGGCATCTATGGACCAACACGGCCATGGAGAGCTGTGGGGGACAGGAGAGGGAGGGAGAAGCAGGAGGAAACAGTTCTGGCTTGGTTTGAGGAGCTCCAGGAAGGAGGTGGGTGGCAGGAGGAAGACGTGGGTGCTGTGCCCATGGCAGAGGTGCCCCTGTGCCCCCTCCTGAGCCACCCCACGTACGTCTCACCCGCAGCACCAACTCTCTGGTTGCCTTCTTGGAGCCAAAAGAAAGCTCACACAGCAACTTCTTGGAGTGGTCCCTCCAGGATAAGGTGGTGTTGAGGGTCAGATTGTGGCTGACCATGCTGGTATCCAGCTGGACTGTGCTGGACACTGTGGACACCTGAGGGTTGTAGCCCTCCCAGTGCAGGACGATGTCACCCCACGGGCACACATAGGGTGTGGAGCACTCCAAGATGGACTTTTGCCCCTCGGTTTGGTCCTCAGTGGGGGCAACACTTGGGCTGTCCAAGTCCTCTGGGATGGAGAGAAAATTTGTAAGTAAAAGATCAGGAAGTTAGGATATGACACCAAATTGGGTGGGAGTGGATCTGCCTGAGGGTAGGAAAGCTCTACAGAGACCTGGACCAACTCATCAATGGACTGATCTGGACCAAATCATCAAAGGGCTGACCTGGACAGACTCATCAATGGGCTGAGGACACCTGCGTGAGGGTCAATAGGGCCAAGTGCTGGTCCTGCACTAGGGTCACAACAACCCCATGCAGCTCCAGGCTGGGGAAGGAGTGGCTGGAGAGGTGCTTGTCACAAAGGGACTTGGCAGTGCTGGTGGCAGTGGCTCCATGGGAGTCACAGTGTGGTGAGGTAGCCAAGAAGGCCAATGGCATCTTGGCCTGGATCAAGCACAGTGTGACAGCAGGACCAGGGCAGTGATCATCCCCCTGGACTTGGCACTGGTGAAGTCACACCTGAGGGCTGTGTCCAGTTTTGGGCCCCTCACTTGGAAAAGGACATCAAGGCACTGGAGAGTGTCCAGAGAAAGGCAACAAGGCTCACAAAAGCTGTAGAACACGTGTGCAATGAGGCCCATCAAAGGCCTAGAACACATATCCAATGAGGTTCATAAAAAATGTAAAATACATGCCCTAGGAGGCTCAGAAAAGGCCTAGAACATGTCCTAGAAGGCTCATCACAGGTCTAGAACACATCTGATGAGGCTCATCAAAGGTCCAGAACACATGAGGAATGGCTGAAAGAACTGGGTTTGTTCAGCCTTGGGAAGAGGTTCAGGGGTGACCTCTAGTTGTAGAGGGGCTCTCTACAACTAACTGAAAGGGTTGTGGAGAGGTAGGAGATGGTCTCTCCTGTCATGGTTGCAGGGAGAGGACTAGAGGGAATGGCCATGGTCAGGCATGGGAATAGGGAATTGCCCATGGAGGTGATGGAGTCACCATTCCTGGAGGTGTTTCAGAGGTGACTGGACATAGTGCTGGAGACATGGGTTAAGGTTTAGGCGTTACAGCTGTGACAGTTCTTGGACTTGATGATCTTAGAGGTTTCCTCCAACCTTGCTGATCCTGTGAGAGCAGAGGGTTGGGACATCCCTATGGAGCAAGAAGGAAGGGGAGTAAGGGTGGTCTGGGTGCTGTACCCACCGGAGATGCTCAGCACCACATCCTGTGCTGCCAACCAGCGGTCGTCCCTGACGATCTCGAAGCGGAAGCGATAGGGCCCACTGTCCCCTGATGTCACCTCCCGCAGCAGCAGGGTGCAGTTGAGGGCCAAGGGGTCCCCCAGCATCTGGGTGCGCCCCCTGAAGTGTCCATCCACCTCCTGGGGGGCAGTGGAGTGGTACACCAGAGTCTTCCTGGAGTCATAGTCCTTGTACCAGATGGCCACAATGCCACCAGTGGTATCCGCACCGGAGGGGTAGCTCAGGGTGCAGGGGATGACCATGCAGGACCCACTGATGCCATGCAGGGACTGGGGGTAGGAAACCCCCCAGGAGCTGAGAGCTGTGCCAGGGAAATGGGGGTCAGGAGGCCACACATGCTCAGGGGGTTCCTGGTTACCCCTAGGACATGCCAGGGTCAGGTCACCTCTGAGGTGTCCAAGCAGGAGCTCAGAGAGTAGGGAGTGTGGATGGGGATGGGATAAGACCCCCAGGAGGGAATTTAAGGTTGAGAAGGGGGAGATGCTAGGGAAAATCTGGGTCAGGGTGCCACACATGGCCAGGGGGTCTGTCACCCATCCCTGTCTGTCCTCCTGTTCCCCCTTCCCTGCTCTATCCCAGTCCCATCCCTGGCTGTTCCCCCATCACCCCACCCCTGCCCCATCCATGCCCATCAGGAGGAGTGGACATCTGTGTGGACATAATAAAGCCCATGGAGACCCAGACCCAACCTTGGGATTCCCCCAAACTCCTGCCCAGATCCCGCTGCCTCCCATGCCAGGGGACTGTCCCATGCCAGGGCACCTCTGGTGTCACCATACCTGGTGGGACAAGGCTGGCCAGGAGCAGGAGGCAGCACATAGTAATTAAGGGTTGGGTTGTCTTGCTTTCACAGCTCAAAAGAAGGAGGGTGGGTGTCAGGCACAGAGGACCCTGAGGAGAAGGAGAGGTGGCCAAGAGCCTTGAAACCTGTGTGTGTCACCAGGATGCTGATCTCTGTGGGATCAATCCCATATCAGTGGCATTAGCACAGTCTCCAGTGGAGCATGAGGGGGTTGAGGGTGTCCCACAGCACCCTCCGAGCCCCCTTCCCCCGAGTGCTCAGAGGGGTTTAAGGAGCTGCTCCAGGTTTGACAGTGAGGGAAGGAGGTTAGGGGGGTTATTCCTGTGCATCCATGGGGTGTGAGAAGGGGAGGAAGGAAAATTCTGACACAGTACGTGTGGGGCT